GTTCACCGCGATAATTTTCGTCGGCCAGAGTCAAGACGCACCAAGCTAGGCGACATCGCTCTCGAGTAAAATAATTTTCCAAAAAATATATGTGGCGAGCCTGATGAAACGCACATTTTTTTTCATTATTGTGATCAAAGCCCAATGATGTACCTAAATGGGTAGTTACGGTATCAAACCATTGATTATGACAGGGTGAGCTAAATTTTTCTGTCGAGGTCGACGTAACTTCACATTAAAAGCGTTTTTGACGGAACAAACTAGTGAGCATCACTGCACGAACTAAGAAAGTAAAAACTTGTACCCATCTCCCACGCGTTTCGTCTGACAAGAGTAGACTTCATCAAGGAGTTTTTCAAGTAGGGTAAATAAGCTTGCTCATATACAAAAAGTAACTAAGTTGTCTCTTATCTATTGAAGCCAGTGGATAGAATTCGCCAGGTGCGCCCACGGTGTTGATATATGTGTGACATTTTCCGTTACATGTACGAGTCCGTGATCCGTTTGAGGGTCACGGATTTAGTGTAAATATTTGACCCCTCAACATCACGTAAAGTCCATAGCTTATAAAGGTCTTAGAACGTTTCATTACACGGATTTGCCTTCTGCGGGTAGAAGGCAAAAAGCGAATTTCTCAGGCGTAATTGCCTTTGATTTCTCAATTGATGTTGTCGCAAACACAGTTTTTGGGAGTCACGAAACAAAAAAACTTATCAGGACCTAGCGTCATGTTCTAATGGAAATAAATAGCAAATATAAATACATTCTCTTGAGAAAAAAAGTTATAAATAACAGGGGTTCTCTGAAACAAATAGTGATAGAAAAGGGTTTCAGTTCTGGTCAATATTGACTTTTCATAGCTTACTTCCAAATCTGAGGGAACGCGCTGAGAGAATAAAAAATATAAATGTGTGATAATGCAAGGCAGAGAAAAAAAAATACAAATAAAGAAAAAGGAGCAAACATAGGAACCCGTGTTGCAGCGTGCAGATATCTTTTGAGCCAGACCTACACACCTAAGCCCGACACCACTCAAAGAAACTCGAAAGAGTGCTGTATATAAACTGTCTCGCACGTGCACGCAGGAAAGGCCATGACAATCAGCGAAAAGAAAAGCAAATGCAGATGATATTTGCAGTCAAAAAACAGGAAAATAAGATAACAGAAGGATTTCCCGTCATCCGCGGTATGGAAATGCCGAAGTTGTTACACACAGGAACTTGTACGTCAACAAGCACGCGACATGACTTTAAAATCTACTTTCCTGTTACAGTTTCCTTATTTTTTGTGCGATAATGATAATAGACGATCAAGATATAGATTAATGAATGTTTTGTTATGTACAAAAGCCCTATTTCCTGATTTTAGCAAATCTTCACAATAATAAACGACAAGAGAAAGAAACGCTACGATTTTCTCATCGAGTTTTCGCCCACATGCATCTCTCCAAACGTGAAATTTTCCATTCCTACAAAAAATCTTGAAAGTTTTTCACATTTTTCACCTTTCTTGATCAATCATCTTGTATAAAGAGCCAAAAAATGTAGGTTTATACGGTCAAGTGACCGCCTAAAGCAAGAGGTGCATGACAGGTGTAGTTGAGAGAAACTTGTCACAGTCGCAGATTTTAAAAGGCATCCAAGACAAAAATGCGCTAGCGCCCAAAGATTTTTTTGATGATTTTCAGAGATGACATGATGGATTATAAAGGGGAATCAAGATTAGAGTTGTAGCTTTCTGGCAAGGGGAGATATTTGACCTCAAAGTTGTCAATATTTGGATAAATCGAAAAGTCTAAAAAAACAGGCGTTTCTTTATCTCTGTTGATTGACAAGCCGTCAATCAAATTGACTGATACTTGCGGCGGACATTAACTAAGGATGGAAAAAATATGTGTGCAAACGCTCAGAATAATTGGTTAAATACTATCATAGTGAGAGCTTCATACATTTTACCTATTTTGAAGCGATTTCCTTGGTGAAGACTAAGAAAAAACCGGGGGGGTGGTCTATCTCCCCCCGGAAAAAACCAAAACAGAAACCAGTTTGTCTTTTTTAGTTTTGGGCTAGACCCTTCAAACTGGCAAAGTTTCATTGAAATCGGTGAGATGGTATGAAGCACGACTGCCCGGTGCTCTCGTGGACACGCTCTTAAGTCTATTTTGCCTCGATTGGGCTAGCAATGTTTCTTCACACATGGTACTTGTATACTTAACAATTGGTTCATACGTCAGCGTGCGTTCATCGAGATATGAAGTACGCGGGAAGTTTGGAGAGCACGAAAGATGCGTAAGAGTTGCTCGAGGCGTAACCGATGGAATTTTTTTCTCGAGGGATTTGTTTGCTGACGTCATGAGCGTGCACCATAGGAATGTGAAGCACGCTCGCGCAATTGAAATTTACGCGCTATGATATAAACGAAATTGATCTCGCCAGAGGGAACACCTGCCTTAAAAAAACTTTGGGAAGGCGTGAAAACCAACATTTTAAGGGTTTGTTACATGAAACATGCACTAAGCAAACAGCTTATTAATAGATATGAACATTTGTCTGCTTTTGAAAATGTACATACAGGCTAATTCTTAATGCCTTCATCTGCCATAATTATTGTTTACTAGAGAGGTTTAGCTGCATTTCCAAGAAATTTCGGATCGATTATTAAATATAAATGAGTGCAAACATATTACAAAAAAAAGAAAGCTGGGGGAAGATGGCGTCAGAATTTCCTGAGAATCTTGTAAGCTACTAAAAGCATTTTTTATTCGCTTTTTACATTCCAGGATTACCCAAGCAACATGATTTTTAGAGTTGATAAAATATTATCAACAGTTCTCGGAAAATAGATCGTAAAGCGATGCGGAATCGAAGAACAGCATGGAAATCTCAATGAAGAGGATCAGACAACCTTAAAATTTCTGCGAGCTGCCATCTCATTCATCTCGAACGCAAATGACATGTGCGCTGATCTAACAAACGCTGCCTTCATTATATCGCAGCCAGGGAAAGAGTTTATCATTCAAGCTGGAAATGGAGATTGGGAGTTTTTCTTTTCAGAGGACGCAAAGGATGTTGTACATGGCCACTGTGTTCGTGAGGGCCCCAAACAGTTTTCAAGCAGTAAAGACTGCAATTCCTATTTCAGAAACCTTTTGTCTTGGTGGTCACAGTCACCAAATACCGACGTTCGTGGACCATTAGCCCTCACTAATTAGCGAACTCACTAAATCTACCCCGCTAGCATAGTTTTTGGGTGAAAATTGCCAATTTTTTATTGCAGAGAGCCTGAAAACGGGTGTAGAAAATGATGTTTTGAAATACGTATTATATCGCTATTTTTCTGTGATTGACATCCACAGCAGACTCAGGGTGTGGGGGGTTGGGGGAGGTGTTCCTCGGAGTTCGAGGTAAGGTTATGCTTCCCACTTCTTCAATACTGATTCACTGACTAGCGATATGATTCTTCCTTTTGGATCACATACAGTAATGACATTCCATTCATTTTTCCTTTTAAGGACTACCAAAGTATAATGAAATCCTACTTTAAAAAGATTGGGTCGATGTTCCTTGGAAGAAAGATTACCAAACGATGTGGAAACGAAGGACAGCATAAAGATCTCGAGGAGAAGCAAGCTGCCATCTCGTACATCTCAGAGGCAACCAACATGGGAGCAGATCTTTCAAATGCTGAATTGACTTTTTTTACAATCAGGAAGAGAGTTTTTCATTTAGGCTGGAATTGGCGACTGGGAGTTCTTTTTTGTAGAAGATCCAAATAATGAAGTTCCCCTGACAGCACATCTGGCCCTGCCAATCGAAACGGTAGACCCAGAAAAGCACCAGGACGAAGAAATGATTTGCTGGCCCTGCCGTCTGCTGTTTAAAAAAATCTCTGTCCTGCTACATATCGACGAAGAAAAAGATGAAAATAAAGAAAGAGGCAGATTTTGTTACTAGCTTGATATTATAGGTCACAAATAACTCCATAATCTATCAGATAATTTGAGTTGATTAGGTGTCAAAATTTATTAAATTTTATACCGCTGTCAGAAACATATCCATAGTCTTTGGCTGGTAATCTTTCGCCTTTCCCATGAAAGGTGTATTCATTTTATTCACAATTAATGCCCTTTAAGAAGTCTAAAGCTTTTCTTTACACGTGTATCTATCTTTTCGATTCGGGGAGTACTCTGAATCTTCAAGATAATAAACAATATTCCATTAAAAAATCTTACGGTCTTACTCGTCACCCGTGATATTGATATCTTATCTAGTAATATGCTTGTTAAATTGGATTTAAATTATTTGACGTGGGTGTGTCTCTCGCCGTAATGTGTGAATTTGCACCAAACACTCCACCATCGTTTGATTAACATGTGTACGCTCTTTTTTAAAACTGAATCTCTATCACAGTAACTTTGGGTTTCCTGTTATACCAAAAATAAAATAAAAAACACAAAGTCAAAAGAACAGAATAGGTAACAAAGGCTAGGAAATCAACTGAAACAATTTTTTGTTTGGGATTCCTCGGTACTTCAGTGTTTCCCTTAGCCCTTTCTCATCCAAGATCTCATTAGTAATTCTCTTTACCGTTTGCGATACAACCTTTATGATGTTAGCTCTGAGAATTTGGCATTGGATCAACTAATAATCCACTAGTTTCTCATCACTTGCCTGTTTGATATTGTATTGATTTGGTCAGGAGAAATTCGGTCTTGGTCACTCATGGGAGTTAAAGGGTTAAGTAAGAAAAATATTAGAACCATGCATTATTGCATGACGATGAATAACAAAATTTACTATCGTAAACAGAGTAAACATATGTTTACATCTCTTCTTTTTGCTTCAAAACTTTCTTCATTTTTACTTCGACTTTGGCAACAGTCTCGTTGTTGGGTTTCTAAGTAACTTCGTTAGTTGTCCATTGTATAACCTCCTGTAAAGATGCAATGAAAAAGAAAACTAGCTTTTGAGAAGACCCACACAATCAGGAGACACCGAGACTCTTAGTTCTCCTCTTCTTTATTACATTTTCTATAGCTAACCCTTTACTCTCTCTCTCCTTTACTCACTGTAGTGCACGCTGCAAAGTACCTTATTAGTGAACATGTGGGTAATGTGCTAACTGTCTGCAGAGTTTAACCCCAAGCCTCAAAAATAGAGTCAGCACAAACTATTTTTAATGTTAAAATTACAAGTTCGACCTTGCGGGCTTCTAAACTTGATAAGACTCGCACAACGACTATACAATAATCAGCTAAAACTTTTTTACGAGTGAAATTTAGAAAACTAAAAATAAAGTACTCACCACGACTAGTTTAGAGACAAAATTTCAAGTTCCAGTAATTGGACAACCAGAGGAGAAAGACAACAATGAAACCTATCGTAAGGGGGTAAGACTGGCACAATCTTTGAGTGCTAACCTTAAAAAACCTTGAATCGTAATAGCACTTCACAACACTCTCTTTTTCTATAGAGGCCTGTTCAAAGGGAGGTCGCATCCAAAATCTCCCTGTGTTTACTTATCAGTACTCAACGATTTAATCTACAAGAGCGGCTTTCAGAACATAGCAATCCGGCGGGAACTAAGAAGGCAATGACGTTCTGTGTATCGCAAAGAAATTAACTAAACCGATACCATTGGCTAATGTGTTTGGTGCTCTAAAATGCACAACTAAATGAGACATAAAACCTATATTCAGCTCTACAAGATTACACTTAATTAGACCTAAAAGCCTTGATGACTACTTCAGCAAGAAACAATAACAAGGTGATAGTAGAAAAACCAAATGTGCCTTTGTTCCAGAGGTACATCAGCGAGGGTTTGCGGACACACTTACAGATTATATTGTTGCTGCCATCCTCGGAAAAGTAATATTCCCATTAAAAATCTCCTTTCACAACAACTAATTATAAACTGAAATAGTTTGTTAAATTATTATCGCGAAAACGGTATGCAAATACACTTAACTAACGTTACCCGGAGCACTGAAGAAACATGTCAGTGTTTCCTTTTTGACCAATACCCCCATGGGGCTTTCATGACCTTTCCAATCAAACTGAGATACAGACGTTGTAAATGATCAGAGTTTAAAAATCCCAACCAGTAGGAGGAACACCAGTTGGCTGTATACAAAGCGAGTCAAGGAATCGACCCTAGGGAAAAACGAGAACAAATCCAGCAAGTAATAAGGTAGAGGGCTTTCACCCGTGACCACTAGATCACTAGTTTAGCACTCTCACCACACTGCCTCAAACATCGAAGAAGCAATGCCAGTATGTTTCTTCCTATATTTCACTCTGCAACGGATCCCCCTTTTTATTCTTACCAGTTGATAGAACGGTTCTTGTAGAAATTAGTCGCCATTATCAATTTCTCATGAAATTACTACAGTAACTTTAATGAAACCGTATATAGGTATTTGTATTACATTAGCTAATTTGTAATACGCAAATCAGATCATGATTTGCAAATCTGTAATTTTCTATCTTACAGTTACCAAATTGGTGATAAAAGTTTCATGTTATAAGAGAGATTACATTCTTGATTCTATCTGGATTGCTTCATCTTCAGTTGGTAAGACGTCATCTGATGTTTTGATGGTGAGACTTGAAGGCAACCGCCTGCTTTTTCTACTGACGATCCTGGTAAATGCCGTATGTATCTTGGTGCTCAAAAAAATGTACAGCCATGGGTTAACGGCACTGTTAGCGTGTCCAAACCAAAAACATACAAAGCTGACAATCGGCTGTATATGTAGGTAAGCCTTAGATGCGTGAATGATTTGCATCATGTGGACCACTTGTGGTGGGAGCCAACAAAGGGCAAAAGCACAGGTAACAATAATGAGCATCCGAACCACTCTTCTCTTGGAGGTTTCGAGTTGCGCTCGATCTCCTCTCAAAGTATTCACTCCAGGTGCAACATTGAACCATAAATTCCATGCAGTGATGGTATACAGGCAAGACATAACGACCAAGGGGATGAGATAGTTGACGACGAAAAGGAGGAGGTAAATTCCTCGAAGAGCCCTATCTGGATCACCCAAGATGTAAACAGATAGCATACAATAGGAAGAATTATTGTAGTCCTCCACGGTTTGAATAACAAGGAATATGGACATGGAGACCAGTGACCCGATCCAAATAATTGGAACGGTTAGTTTAGGCTTTCGAAACCAAAGATGGCGGCTGAGGGGATGAACGATGGTATAGTACCTGTTGATCGCCATGAACGTCAGGCAGAGGATGGATGCTGTTAAAGTGACATAGGCAATGTATACAACACCTTTGCACATGACTTTTCCAAATACCCCTGGGATCATCCACAAACCACCTGTATATATTGCAGAAATCGACCAGGGCATCACCACCAAGGTTATCAGCAGATCAGCGATGGCCATGTTGACGAACATAAAGCTTGTCAGTGATCTGACTTCAGGTTTCTTCCACACGATGTAGATGAGGAAACTATTCCCTGCAAACGCTACGAGCATCGTGATAGCGTAGAGGACTGTGATAACAATCCACTCGGCATCTGGTTTCATCTTTAGTTCCCTGTTTTTTCTGTTGCTAAAGTTTATTTGGATAAAGCTGTTATTATTGAATAAATAATCAGTAAAGGGAACACTCATGGCCCCCCTAAAATTTTATTCGATACCAACCAGGGGTGTGGTGAGAGGAATCGATTGTGAATTCAAAGGAAACAAAACATTTTAAAATTTTTTCCTTTTTTAAACTAAGTTCACTTTGGTTGAGTCGATAATATTTCAGAACTTCACTGAAGATGTGACCAGGAACGGAAATATTGGAAGCAGGAAAAGGAATGCAGCAGGACATTTTGATTTTCTTTATAAATAACACTGGTGAAAAAACCTTAGGGTGCGTTCCTTTGGGAGAATCCGGCTCAGGATTTCTAATCTGTGGCGTTCCTTTCGAGGAAATCCATTTACAGATCAGTGATCTATCAAATCCACGCTGGACAAGGATTCATCGGATCACTGATCTGCGTGATCTAAAAATTAATCATTTTCCCCAGCGGTGCTCAATTTCAAACAAGTAGGTACTTCGTTCATTGACTGGAAAGACTGTTGGCTATCGCTCTACAAATTCTGCGATAAACACGAAATACAATCGATTTTGTAATGCTAAATCGATCGGCCACTGATCGCAGGCATTCAGGGTTCCCCAGTATCCATACCGTAATCAATATTTGCTTCTGTTTTAATTCCATCGTTTGAGTTTACCATGAAAAAATGTGCTTCTAATAAATAGTGCGTGCTAAAGGCCCGTTCAGTAAGACGAGCCATTCAGGGAAGAGCTCAATAACCCACGTGCATACACAAGTCTTAAAATAGCGCACTTTTTGGAATTCTCTGAGAGCTCGTCTGAAACTCCGTTCCTTTCATGCACCGTGATATGTGTAACATTGGATCACAAATCCAAATCCGGATCCTCCCAAAAGAACGCACCCTTAGTAATGAAGTGATGGTTTAGCATTTCTGCATAGATGTATTAAGTATTCCCATCCTTAAAATATATAAATACTGGTCTTCGTTGTTGGTTTGCCTTTATGACGAAAGCGTTTCTTACTTGTCATCTCATTTGTCGTTTTCCGTCTCGATGAATAAAGATAACTTTTAGAAATAGTTTTTTTTATTATTTTCAATTTTCCGCACGGTTCCTTCATTTGTTCGTATAATACCAATAACGAAAATTATCAGAAAGAAACGATAACAATAACATATTCGTTTTAAGAGCGATGGTCAGGAAATATCGACCAAAATCTTAATTTTGTGGCAAGAGTTGAAAAATCGCTTTCTTTCGTTTTTTGTCCATAAATAGCTTTTAGGTGGATAAGATACCTGATGTGGATTGTTCCCGCCAAAAGCTTTTTATTTTTTAGAAAAATTAGTATATCGGTTTTTGTGGTCAGAGTCACAAAATTGGCTAATCATTTACGTGAAATTTGCATACATCAACTTGCCTCTCGTTCGCAAACAAAGTCGCACGGAGAAATTTGGACACTTTATTTCAACAGAATCACTGTTCTTCTTTTACTAGAAGATTCTTTTAGAGCAAAAGCGACACTCACCGAGCAGAAATTATTCAAAAATGAGGAATAGGTTTTATGGATAACAAAAACTCCGTTTTGTTATTGATTTTCGACGGCAATATTGCACATGTGGTATAACTCCAAATTGACTTCATTCTATTTAAATCCCACATTTAGACATACATCTAAAACATACCTGGGAATTAGCTTGGGTTATTGAATGAAATCTCTATAAGGCGGTATCGAAGTTAAGGAATTTTCATGGTGGGTCGGCGGTAATTGTGTAAACACTTCCAGTTTCGAAATCCATGAAAGTGGATATTTGATCCCCAAATACTCATTTTTCTTAATCCTTGTAGGTTTTACAGTCGCAAAGTTGCGTTTTTTACTTAAAGAGTGAGATAGAAAAGCCAAACTGGGTGAATTTTAGCCATTTTGAAACGCTAAACTCTATCGACCGGAGACTCCGCGTGACGAATTGTTTCGTGACTAAACGTGATATTGGGGTGTCGACCAGTCACGGAATCACAATATTAACACTGCATTTCTTGACGGCGTATGAGAACAGTGTAAGGTATAATTGAATGAGTAAAACAGCAAGTTTTGGAAATATGGCTCTCAAAACTCGGTTGCCATGGTAACGTCAATGCTGACGTACAAGTCACGACGACTTTAAAATGTCCCCAGATGATTTTTAGGAAAAGTCGCTAGGTTTGGTGCTCAAAGCTTGAGCAGTTTTGAAGTTATTCAACTTTTAAGCAAAGGGGGGCTTCAAACCCTTCCCGGTCTAAATAGGGTTAAGGGTGTGAATAAAATAGAAGGACGTATGGAATGCCACGAGTAAACGTAAAAGCTAAACCTCGCTCAACTTTTACGTTTACGTGCGACCTTTCAAACATTGCCTCTATTTAAATTACGCGCCTAAAAGCTACGTGTGTATGCACGTGAAATTTACGCGACAGTAGGAATCCACCCTTATTCATCTACCTAGACGCGAGCAGTAACCAATTAGAGAGCACTCATGTAGTAGGCAGTCGAGTAACATTAATTCATAATACACCTACGCCAGGCGTGCAACAAAATTATATCCCTTTTTCACTTTCTTATTTTACCCTGAAATCAGTCTTGAGGTACCGCTTTGCCTCGTTTAAAGCTTTCTTTGTGTTTTTTTTAAATGAACCCTTTATTCTTAAAGGAACAGTTTGGCCTCAGCTTACCATCGCGGACTACGTGGTCTTTAACTTGTTGCCACTGCTTCAAGTTCTCAGATTTTGGTGAGAATAAAAATAGAAAATCCGCTGAATAAATTTAAACTGTGTGCAGACGCAAGGGCGACATAAAATGCACTGGGTATTAAACCTCTTCATTATCTGCGGAACTCAGGAAAAACTGACGTAGAAAGCACAAAATAAGCATATGGCATTGTTTTCTTGGATACCAGCACACAGTTTGAGGTTTACGAAATCGGTTAATTTGTGCTCTCTATCCTTATTCGTTACATTTTAAGGAAAGGCAGCAAGGAAACGGGGCCCGCTCATGCAGACTTTGTGATGATAAGGTCCCTATCCATTTTTTTTTTTTTTAATCTTTTTTGCCCCGCGGGCCTTGTTTGGTGCCACTGTTAATAACACTATTTCCATTGAGTGCCAGTTCAGAACTTACAGAAGTCTCAATGGTCTCAGTTTCCTCGTAAGAAAGGTTCTTGGTCTCCGGAAGCTTTGTGGGCAGCTCCCCTATTTTCTGCATGTCAAGATTAACCCGGCAGTTGCGACAAATACCTGTTGAGTGAATCGATGGAAAATACAGGTTTTTGCTGATACGATATAATCACTATTCTGAACAACTACGGTCTTAATTTACACAAGTAAGGGAACCTGTTTTAAAAAACTTAAATGATAGATTTTCCTGCCCTTTCATATACTTCAACTCTTCAATTCCCTACCCTTTGATATACCTGAAGCCTGATAAAGGTACCCTTTAGGGGCTGAGTCTCCCTGTAACTATCTATAAGCCATCAGGGAATCTGCTTTAAAAAGCTGTAATTTTAGGAGTCCGGTGAAGGCTTCTAAATTTACCTTTTTGCTGCTACAATCACTAATATAAAATGTTAGAATAATGAAAGGAAAAGAAACACGTAAATAAACAAAGGCTATTGAATTTGCGACCGTCACGGCTACTTAATTATTGAAAAAGTCAAAATAAAAAAAAAAAAAAGAAAAGTGCTTACAAAGTGCTTTAATTGAAGTGTCAGATTGGACCGCCATTTTAGAGCTGGTCTGTTTGGTTGAAAAAGATGAAAAATGATGTATACATACCTGAACCAACTGGAATAAAAATTCCCAGTTTCTTCCATATCAAATAACAAGCACTTTTGCCAAGTCCTCTTTCTGCCTTTGCGTTTTTTTGGGCTTGTCCGCCGTGCTTCGAGATTGGCGGAGGAACTCGGCACAGATTCGATCCTCGACGCCACCCAATACCAAGGGATGAGCAGTGCCGGGGACAAATTGTTAATTCCGAAAGGTCTAACTCCGAAGAAAAGGATGTAGATACTCTTCCCAAAATAAGTTCGATTTCGGTTTCTACGTCAGTTATTGACAAGGAAGACTTATGACCCGCGATGTCTCTTTTGCAGTTCAGAAATGGAATAAGCTCAGTTGATCTGCTCCTATCTCTGGGGTCATAAGAGCAAGAACCGCCGACTAAGGAGCTAAAAGAGTACTTAACGTCCATGATGACACAAAACTGGCAAAATAAATTCACTCCAACTTCGCTAATTAAATTTTCCCTCTTTGCATTTAATTGACTAATTCAATTTACCACGGCTAGTAAACTGCTTCGAGCTTTAGCCAACTCTGTCATTTCTTCAACAAATAATAAAAATGAATCCTCACAATTGAAGAAAATATCAATTTAAAAAGCGTCTATGATTTTTTTCTTTCTGTTCCGATTCTTCTGAAACCAAAGGAAGCGAAAAAAACAAGTATAAAAGTTAAACAGGTTAGCAGGGAGCTAATCAAATTACATCCTGATATTTATCAGGGAAAACATCTTACACTGAAAAGGAAAACTTTCACCTTAACAATAATAAAAAATAACCCCTCTTTGGCCGATTGCGTTTTTTTCAATAAAAAAGGACGAAAAGCTCACACCAGAATCGTTTTCAGCACGCTTTCGTGTATATTCCGGCCTGCCGTGTAAAAACTCCGCTTGACGTTACGGTCACGCAACAAGAATTGTTTACTCAGTCGTTGTAAAAAATTTGAATGAATTACTGTCATTTCAAAACCTTCGCGTGAGGCGCTGTAAAGGAAGCCCGTGCTGATTCTAACATATTATAGAGGACAACCTTAAATCCCTCTAATGACATAGTTACAGGGAAAATCTGAATTATACCACATAGTGAAAAAAACATTTGAATTAAGGAGGTATTTGCGGGATTTTTCACGTTTGAAAATACAGCACTTTCCTGCGCGTTGTTTGCTATTTATGAACAACAATAAAGATAAGTCATATAGTTTCTGGGAAAGTACGGCACTCACTCTATCAAAATTCGGTGTCATGATCCTTTGAATCGTTTTTCCTTGAAGACCAAAAGTCAGTTTAAAATATCAATTTCACATTTGCTTGCGGGACCTTTCGGGATCGTCGCCGGTCAAATTCGTTTTTCTCAGTTTTCTCAGAATTAAAGCGCTCCGCTTCTATTCTTAGTAGCTTTTTATAGTCAGAAAATAAGCGAAATTCATTTTTCAACTCTTGCCACTCAATGGTCGATATTTCCTGACCGTCGCTCTTAACTAATCTTTTATTCTCAGTTTAATATACGGTAGAATAAAAAATAACACGAAAGATAATGTATGATATCTTGTTGTTGACACCGTTGGCGCATGCATATAACTAGTTTTGATAGACTGTAACGTTATTAGAATTAGTTTGGAAACAGGCAATCAGTCTGCCTATATATTTGCCTTACAAAGTCAACTTGTTTCCCTCCAAATTATTGTCGGTTACGAAGCGTTGAACGTCTCAAGGCAATTCAACGTACCTGCGATAGACTGCACTGTCCGCTGTCAGCAAATAGACTTGTAGCCTCTTATTACTAAAGGAAGATTAGAAAAAGGGAAAGATTTGCATTTCAACCGCACTGATCCAAGCGTTTTTTCAGGTTGATCTGAAATAAGAAACACGGTATACCTTTGGAGATCGATAAGGTTGCTTCCCCAGAACAACGGTTTTAGAATTCAGTGGCCCGAGACTAAGGAACCCTGATGAACCAAAGAGGTTATTCTTGATCACTTCTATTTTTAATCATTTCAAAATGATTTGCTATGAATATTAATGCGGGTCTCGGTTGCATCTCTTATTGACAGCCGGACAGGAATATCAGACATAAATATTTGCATTTGGGAGTTCTGAAATGGATCTCATATCCAGCATGCCTCATATCAATTTCCATGGCGCGTACAACACGGGTTTACGTCTTCCGCTTTGAAAGTAACAAAAAAAATACTAAGAGCTCAATTAAGAGCGCTTGTCTGTAAAAATCAGACAAATTCTAAATTTCGCGGCAAGGGTGAAAAATTCGATTTCTTTCTTATTTTAATATTAGATAGGCTAGACTATAACTAAAATCACTGGATACTTTTTTGGGCAAAATATCTTTTTATTTCAGAGAAAAATACAAATAACAAAATTCCGTTAAAATCGTCATTTTTAGCAGCAAATTATTGCACAAGTTTGAGGGCTTCGCGTTCAAAAATGAATCACTATCTTGTCTTTTTAACACTCCAATCTTCTTTTCCAACCTCACAAGACCTCACAAAACGATTTTTGTAAACACTGACTTCCTCTTTGCGTGGAAAAGAATTTAAATTCGAAAGCATACATTTCTCTTCAGTAAAAGTACTTTGTGAGTAAAGTTACTTTTCAGCATGTGCTAAACCTTCAAATGGATTAAGTTTTTGGCGGTAGAATTACGAAAAGATTTTCTTAATATTACTGCAAAAATTTGTTTGGGCAAATGATTGAGAGCAATACAAAAGCTTTTCAAAGTCCGTTAAAATGCAGTTATTTGACCTTTTGCGGTCAACATTCCAGTCGCGACGCACACACATGTTTTGATATGTTTCAACCTATATGAGGCCGGAAAATGTACATGGGTACACATTTCCAAATGCTCTAACCTCATTTGCCATAGAAGAAAGATCCAAAGACCATTTTACTGTGGTTATCTTGTCGCTCGTCGTATTTATAACGTCCGATGAAACTTTCTGTCAATCTGCGAACTATCACCAACCTTCGTTGTAAAAAGTTTGACATCTTTCTGCACTGTGGCATCTTATCCAGCGGTTCAGTTGACTGTGAGTGTTGTTCGGTTTGTGGTGCAGTAGATCTGATCGATGCTTTTGAAAGTAGCACTACACATTTGTTGCAGTCAACGTGGTGTTGTTTACGGAGAGTAGTCACGCAATGCAAATCATACAATGGAAAGTTATTTTTTAGGGGGTAGGGGAAGGGGAAAGTAAAAAGACGTCACTCTGCTGCTCAGATTTTTTGTTCTTGTGAACATCGAAATCTCTTACATGTAAGTCGCGGAGATCGGGCCTTCGGCTAATACTCGTTAAAAAGCTAAATTTTGTACCTGCTAAAAATAGTAAGCCTAAGTAAACAAAAGCTGGTTCAGTATGGTAATTACACGATGCCTGTTGTTTGCTTAGAGGCGGGGCTTCGGACTTTGTTTTTCACAAATACACTAACTTACACGGTCAACTTTGTTACATAAAAAAGGTTGTTGTTCGTTCAAGTCGCTTATTGGCGGAGTTTGTTGTTACAACACTAGAGATCGAAAGCGTAAAACGGAAATTGTTCCTTTACTTTCATACACCAAGAATATCGCAAGTCATAAGTCGGCTTTCAAATTTACCGGTCCTCAAGATGAGATCGACCTTATTTTGTGCCGAGCGCACATATGTCGGCCTCTCTCTAGTTTAAGGTTTTAAACGGTAGTTGGGTCTGTTAACAATGGTTAATAGTACCACTCCCTTTTGCAAGCCCGCCCATTGGCCACGGAACATAGCACCCCTGCCTCACATAAGCCACACATCCCCAACACTGCGTTTTGTAGCACGGTGCAGTAAAAATGTAGAAAAGGTTTTCTTGCATGCTATTAGGGTATTCCTTGCAATTTTAGTGGAAAGAAAAACACCCCTAATAAGTACGAAAGGCACAGAGCGCCAAAAAAAACAAGAATAATAAATGTTTGTCACCACACAAAGATGACACTATTACAAAAATGTTTACAGAATAAAATATTTTGTAGGTTCCAAGAGTTCAATTCTAATAGTACTTAATTATAAGGAGTTTTACCCTTCACCTACCCCCAGTCAACTGAACCGTTGAATAAGATGCCACAGTGAAGAAAGATATCGCACGTTTGACAACAAGATGGTGTTCGACAGGGTTGGTGGTTACATGGGAAGTTATCATTTATACAGACCTAAATACGACGAACGACAAGGGAATCACACTAAAATGGTCTCTGGATTGGTCTTCTGCGGCAAATGAGGTTAGAGCATTTGGAAATATATTTCTATGTACATTTTTCGGCCACATATAGGTTGAAACATATTAAAATATGTGTGACTCGCGACTGGAATGTTGACCGCAAAAGGTCAAATAACTGCATTTTAACCGACTTTGAAAAGCTTTTGTATCGCTCTCAATCATTTGCCCAAACAAATTTTTTACAGTTATATTGAGAACATCTTTTCGAAATTCAACCACCAAAAACTTAATCCATTCGAAGGTTTAGCACATGGCGAAAATTGATTTTATTCACGAGGTATTTTTACTGAAGAGAAATGTATGCTTTCGAAATTAAATTATTTTAATCGCAAAGAAGAGCGCAATGTTTACAAAAATCATTTTGTGAGGTCTTATAAGATCAAATAAGAAGATTTGAGTGTTTAAAATACGAGATAGTGATTCGTTTTTGCACGCGAAGCCCTCAAACTCGTGTAATTTGCTGCTAAAAATGACGATTTTAACGGAATTTCGTTATTTGTATTTTTTTCTGAAATAAAAAGATATTTCGCCAAAAAAAGTATCCAGTGATTTTAGTTATAGCCTAGCCTATCTAACATTAAAATAAGAAAGAAATCGAATTTTCCACCCTTGCCGCGATATGTTTAATTTTTACAGACAAGGGCTCTTAAGAGGTAAAACTTATGAACACCGTTTAGAATCACAGTTTCGCGAAGAATTCAACTTACTGAGGAGAAGAAGTCCAATTCGAAAGGAAAAAATTCCTTTAGATTTTATCAATAGATTATTTACAGTTTGATCTCTTAATCGGTGCCAAAGACAGAGTTATACTTACTGGTAATATTGTAACGTTGCCGATGAAATTTCCCATAACCGTGTTTAGCTAACTCGTGACAAATAGCTTGGCCAAATCCTCGAGAGGATCACGATTTGCAGCTTAATTTTGGTCCAGAAGCGTTTGTGACGGGAGAAGCTCTCTGCAGCTCATGTAGTCAAGTCAGACAACCGTAACACTACTAAGGCAGCTAGCGTTTTTGTCTCTTTGTGGTTATCAAGGTTTTTCCCTATCATAACTGCTTTGAATTTTGATTGGCCATGGAAAATTTGTATTGATGACTCATTCTCACGTGGCATTCCCAACCACGCAAAGAAGACAAAAAAATGTCAAAGTTCAAGCGTAAGGGAAAATTCCCAGCATGTGATGAATTTATTTTGAAAAAACAAATCAACAAATGAAATATTTTTCGAGGCGTTTGGAAAGCGCATAACTTAAAATGAATTTCTGTAAGAATTGCTATATAAAGCCTCTGGTGAAACTATCAAGAAACATAAGCAGTAGCCTTCTAGTGCCTGCATCTCTCGGGTTTTTTTCCTTAATGCGGGTTCTCCAATGAAACAAAGGACAAAGGATGACTCATCATCACGGGGGTTTCTATGGGCGGCCGTCACCACCAAAAATACAAGGATGTCAAATAGATCAGCAAATACAAAGATGGTATAAGGATCAGCTGCAGGATAGCATAGCTAATAAAGGAATGGCATGGCCAAATTATAGACAGTCTAGTTTTCCTTCGTGAAACAGAACACCCTAAACATGAATAGTTTAGCCAAATGAGAAACGGTCTAGTAGCTCATGTTGAGTTGAAACATGAGATTGTGAAATGGACTAGCTCAATTACAAATAGCTTAGCACTCGTTTGCAATACAGTACTCAAACGGTGTAGCGTTGCGTTAAACGGCTCAGGGTAACGTCGAGTAGCACAGCGTACGCACAAACGGTGTAGCGTTACGTCAAATGGCTCAGCGTAATTTAGAATGGTACAGCGTACACACATATGGTGTAGCGCTGCGGGAAATAGCTCAGCGTACGTCGAGTAGCACAGCGTACGCACAAACGATGTAGCGTTGCGTCAAATGGCTCAGCGTAATTTAGAATGGTACAGCGTACACACATTTGGTGTAGCGCTGCGGGAAATGGCTCAGCGTAATGTCAAATTGTACAGCGTACATAAAAACAGTGTAGCGTTGTGTGAAATGGCTCAGCGTAATGTCAAATGGTACAGCATACATACAAATAGTGTAGCGTTGCATGAAATGGCTTAGCGTAATGTCGAATGGTACAGCGTACATACAAACAGTGTAGCGTTGCGTGAAGTGGCTTAGCATAATGTCGAATGGTACAGCGTACATACAAACAGCGTAGCGTTGCGTGAAATGGCTTAGCGTAATGTCGAATGGTACAGCGTACATACAAACAGCGTAGCGTTGCGTGAAGTGGCTTAGCATAATGTCGAATGGTACAGCGTACATACAAACAGCGTAGCGTTGCGTGAAATGGCTTAGCGTAATGTCGAATGGTACAGCGTACATACAAACAGCGTAGCGTTGCGTGAAGTGGCTTAGCATAATGTCGAATGGTACAGCGTACACACAAATAGTGTAGCGTTAGGTCGAATAGCTTTGCAAAACATCAGACGCTCTATCTGAACATTAAATTGCTTAGTATTACTTGAAATATTTCGATGTTGTGGCGAATCGTCGTGGTGTGACGCGAAGGCCATGCCATTCCTTTATTAGCTATGCTATCCTGCAGCTGATCCTCAAGCCATCTTTGTATTTGCTGATCTATACGACATCCTTTGTATTTCTGCCGATATTGCACTTATTCGTTGTCGTTCATGATAGTGTTAATTAAAAGAGCGAGACTGGATTCTACCACGGTTTACCGGCCTCCTGGTTTACCACAGTTTGCACGTGTTGGTGAGCCTGAATTTTAATAGTATTACGTAGTGTTATGATGTGCATTAAATGTCGATTGCCGAGCTCTCATTTCTTTTCTTTTCTGACTCGCGCTTACTTTTCAAAGGGAGTTTAACTTCAACGGTTCTTTGAACATTGCGGGAGTACGTGAGAAGTTGGATTTTGTGTGTGCCCTGGACGCCATGGTCCAACTCTAGTCAATATATCTAGTGTGTACTGAACTCAGTCTGTAGCAATAATAATAATAATAATAATAATAATAATCGCAAAAATTAATAGTTGAGGTACAGAAATGTAAAAATAAATAAAAATATAAATAAATACGTCTACCGAAACAAACAGGGAAGATAAGTATGTATGCGCGCAAAACCAGCTCAGAAAAAATATTACTCTGGCAAAAACTATTTTGGAACGCGAAAGAAACCCTTTAACTGTTTCCGGTTCAGACATGTAATCTACGTTTGATCGACAAAATAAAATGGAACTTACTTTTACTATCAGTGCACCCAGGAAAAAATTAATAAACAAAGCAATATAATGTACACCTCTTTAAAATAATAAATATGTCTTCTCTTAGCTTACTCTTATCATCCGGTACACCAATTAAAGCATTCCGATATCACTTTAATCGAAAAATGTCAAAACAGATCAACACATAAAATATTCAACTTCTCACGTACTCCTCCGATGTTCAAAGAGCCGTAAAAGTTGGACTCTCATTGAAAAGTAAGCATGAGTCGGAGAAAGAAAAGAGAGCTCGACAATTGACATTTAATGCACGTCATAACACTACTTAATACTATAAACATATTCAGGCCCACCAACGCGTGCAAACTGTGGTAAACCAAGAGGCCGGCAAACCGTGGTAGAATTCAGTCTCGTTGCTATTTTAATTGACACTTTCAGGAGCGACAACGAATAAGTGCAATATCAGCAGTGAAAAAAGAGGAGAAACTTACCAAATTGGCTCTGTTTTACGGCAAAGCGAAGTGAAGACTATTCCATACAGCGACTACGCCATGTAATGGTTTCGTGTCATTTGATGACGTCATGCCCCCAGCAGATCGCTGTTCCATTTGTGGTTTGTATTTTTGGTGGTTTCGGCGAGATGCCTTGGCGGCCGTCACCACCAAAAATACAAGGATGTCGTATAGATCAGCAAATACAAAGATGGCTTAAGGGTCAGCTGCAGGATAGAATAGCTAATAAAGGAATGGCATGGCCTTCACGTCACGCCACGACGATTCGCCACAACATCGAAATATTTCAAGTAATACTAAGCAATTTAATGTTCAGATAGAGCGTCTGATGTTTTGCAAAGCTATTCGACCTAACGCTACACTATTTGTGTCTACGCTGTACCATTCTACATTACGCTGAGCCATTTCACGCAACGCTACACCATTTGTGTGTACGCTGTGCCATTCGACATTATGCTAAGCCACTTCACGCAACGCTACACTGTTTGTATGTACGCTGTACCATTCGACATTACGCTAAGCCATTTCATGCAACGCTACACTATTTGTATGTACGCTGTACCATTTGAAATTACGCTGAGCCATTTCACACAACGCTACACTGTTTTTATGTACGCTGTACAATTTGACATTACGCTGAGCCATTTCCCGCAGCGCTACACCAAATGTGTGTACGCTGTACCATTCTAAATTACGCTGAGCCATTTGACGCAACGCTACATCGTTTGTGCGTACGCTGTGCTACTCGACGTTACCCTGAGCCGTTTAACGCAACGCTACACCGTTTGAGTACTGTATTTCAAATGAGTGCTAAGCTATTCGTAATTAAGCTAGTCCATTTCACAATCTCATGTTCCAACTCAACATGGGCTACTAGACCGTTTCTCATTTGGCTAAACTATTCATGTTTAGGGTGTTCTGTTTCACGAAGGAAAACTAGCCTGTCTATAATTTGGCCATGCCATTCCTTTATTAGCTATGCTATCCTGCAGCTGATCCTTATACCATCTTTGTATTTGCTGATCTATTTGACATCCTTGTATTTTTGGTGGTGTATCCATCAATCCAATTCGAGTTCTTCATTAGGGAAAATTCCCAGCAGCGAACGAACGATAAATAATGCGAACAATTTATTCGGCTCTATACTTAAAAACCACTCGGCCTTGTGCGGCAAGATTGGGAAATGTATTCCACTAAATATTTAGTAAATCTGTTCATTCCCTGAGCGAGCTGGAATAAAGCAGGACGATGGGAAATAACAATTCAAGAATAACATTTGTACAGGGAAATTTGCATTTTAGTCAGACTTACAGGTTACAGACTTACGATTGACTTGACTTCAAAGGCCGTGTTTTACATAATTTTTCGGACTGCAAGAGGTCACATCGTTACAGGCAAGGAGTTTTGTTGTCAAGGCGGCATGTCATTAGATCGTTTCCTAAAATGAACTAGAATCTATGTTGCTTCAATTGGGCTTAAAATGATAGACTTAAATTTAGACGATCAAAAGACAAACTTTACTGTAACAAGACCTTTTAAAGACGAGATTACGGCATATTTACTAGAAACCGAAATTCTGAAAATCAGGAAAGCAAGATTTATTACATCAAGACCTTTAAAAGCGAGATCACGGGTTGTGAAACGCATTTCCCTTCCGGAAAATTTCGAAATTCCGACATTGTAAGGCAAACTGAGTGCGTTTTAATGTGCAATTATTTTTACAAGAAATGTTCTTTATTTCATCAAAATGATGTTAGGTTACGTTAAAAAGGGGCGACAAGTATGTATTCATATGCTAATGAGAAATGTTTATCCGGCTATATATGCAGCTAGTTACTTAAACAGTTCAAGGATTTTCCAAAGCGGAGGTCAAAAATTTGCCCTCCATCTGTTCGAATTTACTGAGACTTGCCTTTCCTTTCTGGAACATTTCTATCTTTTTTCCAAGAAAATATGGGCTTATTCTCTCCACTCTGATTTTTTTTCTTCCGTATACCCCTGAAATTTTAAATAATCGAGCATAAACATTGGGGCAAAGCAAAAAAAGGGCAACACACTCGACATACGTGTAATACGAAAATTTCCACGGTTAATGAAGTGTTTTGAAACATGATTGATGTCTGATGGTTTTTCTTTTTTTTTTTTTTTTGAAAGGTGAATACTCGTCTGACGCTGTAGCATCACTTGTCTCTCAATCTGTGGACGTTTCGTGAGATTTGTATGATAAACTTACAAAATATCTTTCTCAGGATATTTACTAATGAACAGAATTGACCTCAACAAAGAAATAACGATCGGTGTCGTAAACAGGATGTTTTAATTTGTCAAATTAATAAGTCTATTATTTTGATTCTTAGCCCCTGGAACCTAATTTATCAGGACGAAGCCCAGCTTGGGAATAGATATATTCGTGTTAATATTTCATCAATGCTAAAATCAGGCAGCAGAGCCAAGTTGACAAGGGGCAATTATATTCCACAACATTGATATGTAATCCAATAATAGGCATGTTAAAATTAGGAAATAATTTGACTTGGTTGTGTCCAAATTCAGGAAACTTTTTCGCCGTAATGTGTGAATTTGCACCAAACACTCCACCACCGTTTTATTAACATGTGCACGTTTTTTTTTTTTCTAACTGAATGTCTATCACAGAAGCTTTGCAATTCTTGATAAACCAAAAATAAAATAAAAAGTACAAAGTCAAAAGAACAGAATAAGTGATACTGAAAGGCTAGGAAATCAACTGAAACAATTTTTTGTTTGGGATTCCTCGATATCTCACTGTTTTCCTTAACCCTTTCACTCCCAAGATCTCATTAGTAATTCTCCTTACTGTCTGCTATACAACTCTTATGATGTTAGCTCTGAGAATTTGGTATTGGATCAACTAATAATCCCCTAGCTGATATATTTGTTTTTTCTTATCACTTGCCTGTTTGATATTGTATTGATTTGGTAAGGAGAAATTCTGTCTTGGTCACTCATGGGAGTTAAAGGGTTAAGTAAGAAAAATATTAGAACCGTGCATTATTGCATGCAGGGCTTTTTCTCCACATTTCTTGCAATGAATAATCCAATAAATGAGCGTAAACAACGTAAAAATATGACGATACAAGAGTGAAGATTTTTGACTCCTCTTCCTTCTGTTCACAAGGCAATGTAGCACTGTGGATCCAGTAGTATCCAAGAAAATTACTCTTTCACTGTTCACACAGAGATGCCTAGGTGTCATTTGCCTTGAAACAGACCAGTGTTCAATTACAGGGGTTTGTAAGGTCTCCTTCTGTATGTATGGATCTGAAAAATTAAAAGAAAGTGAATTTACATTACATGGACATTTTCAAAACAGGATGTACGAATTCATCAACACTATCTTGGCTGTGATTTGAACAGGTGTTGGTGTAACAAGACTAGCTTGACTTTTGAGCAGATAATGTTTTATCGAAGTTTAGCTTTACTAAAGCTTTTGTATAACCGTGGGTTTACTGAAGCAAATTGAAACGGATCCCTTCCGTGAATTCGTTGGAACTAATTCGAGCTGAGAGAGAACTGGTAAGATATTGCAGGCCAACGACGAATTTTTGAAAAATCAGTTCAAGTGTCACGGATATAAAAGGGAAAATTTCTAACCTCTCCTCTTATGTAAATGGTTTCAGGGAAATCGAGGTTTTCACGCTATGAAAAAAAAGAATTCAGGGTTTAAGTATACTTCAGGCCTCATACAATCTCGTAAATTCACGAATAACCTTTGAGCAAAATTCACGCGTCGCGTTTTAACTTTGGCCTTCATCACGCGTCACGTGCAAACCTAAGTGATGCACCAGTTTATTCATACCTTAAGTTTCCTCTCAGAAAATGATTCTCTAGAGGGTCCAGCAATGATTGTGATGACTCTTGCAAAGATTCGGCACCGATTATTTTTGGAGAAATGGTCAACTCTTGTTCCTGTTCTGTACAGATACGCAGCTGCTGGTTGTATTATTTTAATGCGCCATACTTCGAAATGCCTTGCAATTGTAAAGCCTTGTCCATACTAAACCCTTTTAAATTTTTTAATTTTTTAATTTTCCATACTAAGGAAACAGATCTATTTTTCTTTGTCCCGGCGGGCTATAAGTACACTGGCGGCACATTAGGCATGCACTCAATTATGGTTAATTATAAGACTAAAGAGCCGCGACGCCAGCGATTTTAAGAAGCACCGATTTCGCTTAATGAATACTAACCTTCACAGGCTTAGCGCTTACGGTAGGCCTGGTTAAAGATGTGAAGTCTCCATTCGTATACACTATATACCTCATCGGCGAGCAAAGGTTTAATATTTCGATTAGAACTCGTAAGCTGTGCACTGTGCAATTTCACCAATGAGGGACAAAAGTCCCTTCAACCTATTGTTCTACAAACCGCTAACATCTGCTCCCAATATCCTAATAATCGTATAATTAGGCTTTAGTCAGTTTTGTTTGCTATGCGCTCTTGTCAGACTCTGGGTGGAGTTGGCATGTATCAGTCGAACAAAAATATTTCAATCGATGATGGCGAGCATACCGGTACGGGAATCCCCACCAGAGGAAAGACTTCCCAATGAAGATCACTGGGTTGACTTCGATGATTCAATCAATCCTTTGAATGTAGGATCTTTCATTTATGGAAAAATAATTCCGGATTTTGAGAGTCAATTAGAAATTGAAGGTAAAGCTAAAAACACCTGAATACAAAGTATCACAAGCAGTCCAGTGTCGATAACTTTTCAAATTTCAAGGTTAAGAGATCAGAAGTGTTATCAACAGAGTTGATAACGTGAATTGGCCACCTTAAAGAGTTTAAAGGCCGACGTTTCGGGCGTTCGCCCTTCGTCAGAGCGATCGAGTAACGATAAATATAGACTAGGTAACGATAAATGGTCTGAGCGAAACTTTGTTTGCCAAACACAAGTTTGCGATCTCATCGATATGAATACAATTTTACCAAACGCTTATCGAATCGTCATCTCTGAGTCTATCACTTATTTACGAATTGTATGTTTTCATTCCTGGATTGGAGATGAAGAACCCACAAACTTTTGATAAAAGCACGTTTTAGGCCAATTTTGTTGTTGCGAAGATTGATACGATGCTTAATTCACTTCGGTTGAATTACACTTCGATGGAAATTAGTGAATTATTTCAGATTTCTTGGATTCCGTCGTTGTTTTCAATGTAGAACCCGGCCAAAACCAGAAAGCGCCCTCACAATGGCTTTGTAAAGTGGGTCTGCAGTACATTATCCTTTTCATTGGTTTGTGACTTATAAGGCAACATTGCACGGTTTGATTTTTATGATTCTGAAAAAAGTTGCAGCTGACAGAGAGGGAGGATTGTTTTTTCCTAGAAGCTTATTTTCGCCCTTTAATTGAGATACAGATGTAGCATAAATACTAACTGTAAACATTGATATTAATTAAAATCTGTGATACTGTTAATTTAGTTTTCCTCTGAATAGGGAATAAAGTTTTCATTAGAAGGTTGAGCATTAATTTCCCTGTAGTCTTTTTCAAGACAGTGCAAGATTTAAATGATATATTTGCTCTCTATTTATCACATATACAAATCTTTTAAAATAGGTCAAAGGACCGAAATTGTGACTAGTAAATATATTTTGCCTAGAGTGGATTGCTTATTTGCTGTATAACAAACTTCAATTGTATTAAATTAATGATATTTTTCATTAATTTTTTTGTATTCGGTCATAAAATAAAGTGATGTGACTTAAACTGTTTGGTTTATTGCTTACTTTTCTAACATTTTAATATTCGAATTTAATCATGTGGCATTAAGCCATGTGCTATTTTAGGTAACATAATTTCTGTTGAAAGTTAATTGACAGAATATTTGTGGCATCTGCTATTGACTAGTTAGAGAAAGACTTTTATATTCCTGTATCCATGAGTGAATTACTGGAACATCTAGTGTATGAGTGGTCACTGTGTTTCTGTGAAATTCAGTGTATGAGTGCTCACAGAATTTCTGCGATACCTTGTGAATGAGTGGTTGCAGAATTTCTGTGACACCCAGCGAATGAGTTGTTGCAGAATTTCTGCAACACTCAGTGTATGAGTGGTCACAGAATTTCTGTGACACCCAGTGTACGGAGTTGTCACAGAATTTTTGTGACACCCAGTATATGAGTGATCGCATAATTTCTGCAACACTTTGAGTTTCAGTGGTCACAGAATTTCTGCAACACCCAGTGTATAAATGGTTGCAGAATTTCAGCAACATCCAGTGCGTGAGTGGTAGCAGAATTTCTGCGACATCCAGTGGCCTAGTGGTTGCAGAATCTCTGCAACACTCAGTGCATGAGAGGTTGCAAAATTTCTGCAACATTCAGTGACTGACTGTTGGCAGATTAGACGGATTTCCTCTGCATCTTTTCATGATTGTCCATTAACACATAGTTTCTTACGGACACGCTAAATATTGCAGAGGAAAATGTAAAATTTCAATTTATTTTAAATTTTTTCCGCTAGGTTTGATTACTTTTTAAGTGATTACCAAAACTTGTAGAGGAAAATCATTAATTTATCCAAAAATGTGCTATTTTGGAAAACACAAAATAGTTTGGAAAGCGTTCTTGAAGTGAGTGAGTATATTTAGTTCTCCAAGATTACACTTAATTAGACCTAAAAGCCTTGATGACTATTTCAGCAAGAAACAATAACAAGGTGATACTAGAAAAACCAAATGTGCCTTTGTTCCAGAGGTACATCAGCCAGTGTTTGCGGACACATTTACAGGTTATATTGTTGCTGCCATCCTCGGAAAAGCAATATTCCCAATTACCCTTTCCTGCATACTATAACAATAAAGTGCCCGGCTGGAGGGTTGAAAATGAAAGCGGCATTTTCAAAATCAGCTCCATCCTCATTTGCCAGAGGTACGCAATTGATAGCCTCTTCTAGAAATTTGACACTTGTTTCGTCGTGTTCACTGAGACTTTCCTTGTTCTGTATTTTTTTCGACTTCTTCTCTTAGAGCACTCGCGGTTATTTTCTTCACGGGAATTCTTATTTTTTCTGGATAATCCTAAAATGATATAGATGTTATCAATATTAGGAGAAAAATTAGTATGGCGAAAGAAAAAAAAAAACACAGTAACCAGGTCAACCCACAAGTATCGCCAGAATCGCTGGGGAGTAGAACTCAGGCCACAGCTACATGTGAGGAGGCGATTGCTCCCACTCCTCCTACTAAGAGTCTCCTCCCCTCCCCCTCGAAAGTTTCTGATGAATATTTAAGCAAGTATTGATTGCCGATCTTATCACTATGCTGGACTGCCTTGTAACGCAGCTCCGTAGTTTAAGGCCCCATGGGAAGGTCTGACGTTCAAATTCTTAACGAAGTTTTTCAGGTTCCCAGCGGCTTGCTCGTTTTTAAATAAAGTGCATATTTCCTTATGGTATTCTGTAGAGGGATTGCTGAGCTCCCCTTGAAAATCTCATTTTTTCATATTGTCCCCATTTTGTCTCTATGAAATTGGAAACCTGAAAAACAAAACTAATGCCCCATTACACAGAGCTCTCACTTGGATTTCAGCTGAAACTATCATTGTGTGCAACAGAATTAAAGAAAACTGTGAGGGAAAGATTGATTAGTATCGATGAGAAAATTATGAATAAACAAAACAAATTAGTATATAGCGGACAGATGAATTGCGCTTTTCGCGCGCGCTAATTAGTTAGCTCGCTAGTAAGCTAGTGAAATACCTCGTTTGACAGCGCCTATCGTCTCAATATTACTATACTATAGTTCTGAAAATTGAACTCTATTTCTCTATACTCTTCTGAGATGTCCAAGCCCCTGAATATTAGCTCCATTTTCTCTTTTCCTTTTTGGGTTTTTTTTTTGTTCAAGATTGCGTTATTTCAGAAAAAATTCAGACGAAAAAGAAAGAACAAACATTACAACCTTAAGGGAGATCGGGTGGCCAAGTGGTTGGCGCGCCCAAATCTAAACAGAATGAGACGATTCTTGGTCCATCAGCACTTATTTTGCTTTAATTGTGTATGTCATAACCGAAGGCTGTTACAAATCTCCTTTCAAGACAGCTAATTATAAACTGAAATAGTTTGTTACATTATTATCGCGAAAACGGTAAGGAAATACTCTTAATTAATGCTACGCGGAGCACTGAAAAAACATGTCAGTTTTTCCTTTTTGAACAGTACCCCTATGGGGCTTTCATAGCCATTTCAATCAAATTGGAAAACAGACGTTGTAAATAATCATGTTTAAAAATCCCAACCAGCAGTGGGCACACCAGTTGGCTGTATACAAAGCGAGTCACGGAATCGACCCGAAGGAAAAACGAGAACAAACCAGCGAGTCATAAGGTAGAGGGCTTGCACCCGTGAACACCAGATCACTATTTCAGCACCCTCACTACACTGCCTCAAACATCAAAGAAGCAATGCCAGTATGCCTCTTCCTATAGTTCACTCTGCAACGGATCCCCCTTTTTATTCCTACCAGCCGATAGAACGGTTCTTGTCGAAATTAGTTGCAATTATCAATTTCTCATGAAATTACTCGGATTGCTACAGTAACTTTTATGAAACCGTATATAGGTGTTTGTATCATATTATCTAATTAGTAATACGCAAATCTGTTTTAAGCGAGTTTCCATCTCACAGTTACCAAATTAGTAATAAAAGTTTCATGTTATGAGAGAGATTATACTCTTGATTCTTTCTGGATTGCTTCATTTTCAGGTGGTAAGACGGCATCTGATCTTTTGATAGTGGTACTTGAAGGCAACCGGCTGCTTTTTCTACTGACGATCCTAGTAAATGCAGTATTTATCTTGGTGCTCAGAAAAATGTACAGCCATGGGTTAACGGCACTGTTGGCGTGTCCAAACCAAAAACACACAAAGCTGACAATCGGCTGTATGTGTTGGTCAGCCTTAGATGCGTGAATGACGTACATCATGTGGACCACTTGTGGTGGGAGCCAACATAGGGCAAAGGCACAGGTAACAATAATAAGCATCCGAACCACTCTTCTCTTGGAGGTTTCTTGTTGCGCTCGATTTCCTATCAAAGTATTCACTCCAGGTGCAACATGGAACCATAAATTCCATGCAGTGATGGTATACAGGAAAGAAATAATGACCAAGGGAATGAGATAGTTGACGACGAAAAGGAGGAGGTATATTCCTCGAAGAGCCCTATCTGGATCACCCAAGATGTAAACAGATAGCATGCATTGGGAATTGTGGTCCTCCACGGTTTGAACAACAAGAAAAATGGACATGGAGACCAGTGACCCGATCCAAATAAATGGAACGGTTAGTTTAGGCTTTCGAAACCAAAGATGGCGGCGGAGGGGATGAACGATGGCATAGTACCTGTCGATCGCCATGAAAGTCAGGCAGAGGATGGATGCTGTTAAAGTGACATAGGCAATGTATACAACACCTTTGCACATGACCTTTCCAAATACTCCCGGGATCATCCACAAACCACTTGTATATATCATGGAAATCGACCAGGGCATCACTACCAAGGTTACAAGCAAATCAGCGATGGCCATGTTGACGAACATAAAGCTTGTCAGTGATCTGACTTCAGGTTTCTTCCACACGATGTAGATGAGAAAACTATTCCCTGCAAACGCTAGGAGCATCGTGATTGCGTAGAGTACTGTGATGATCCATTCGTTTTCTGGTTTCATCTTTATTCCCTTTTTTTCTGTCGCTAAAGTTGAATAGGAAAAAACTGTTATTACTGCATAAATAATCAGTAAATGGAACACCCATGGCCCCCTAAAATCTTATGCTATACCAACCTGGGGTGTGATGAGAGTAATAGATTTTGAATTCAAAGGAAACAAATATATATTTTTTTTGTTTATTTTAAACTAAGTTCAGTTTGGTTAAGTCGATGATTTTTCGGGGCGTCACTGAAGCTGTGAACAGGAACGGAAATACTGGAAACAGGAAAAGGAATGCAGCAGGACTTTTTGATTTTCTCCGTAAATAACACTAATGAAAAAATCTTAGCATTGAAGTGATGGTTAAGCATTTGTGCATAGGAGTATTAAGCATTCCCTTCCTCAAAATAAATAAAAACTGGTCTTTGTTGTTGGTTTGCCTTTATGACGAAAGTGTTTCTCATTTGTCATCTTCTCCTTCGTCATGTTCCGTCCCGATGAATAAATATAACTTTCAGAAATAGTTTTTTTTTTTACTATTTTCAATTTTCTGCACGGTTCCTTCATTTTTCCGCATAATACCAATAACGAAAATTATCAGAAAGAAACGATAACAATAACATAATATTTGTTATAACAAAACTTTTATTCTCAGTTAAATATCCGGTAAAATAAAAATTAACAGTAAAGATAATGTATGATATCTTATTGAAGACACCGTTGGCGCATGCATATAACTATTTTTGATGGACTGTAACGTTATTAGAATTAGTTTGGAAACAGGAAATCGATCTGCCTATATATTCGCCTTACAAAGTCAACTTGTTTCCCTCCAAATTATTGTGAGTTAAGAAGCGTTGAACGTCTTATGGCAACTCAACGTACCTGCGATAGAATGCACTGAAGTCCGCTGTCAGCAAATAGACTTGTGGCCTCTTAGTACTAAAGGAAGATTAAAAAAAGGGAAAAGTTTACCTTTCAACCGCACTGATCCAAGCGTTTTTTCAGGTTGATCTAAAGTAAGAAATACGGTATACCTTTGGAGATCGATAAGGTTGCTTCCCCAGTCTAACGGTGTTAGAATTCAGTGGCCCGAGACTGATGAACCCTGATGAACTAGAGAGGTTATCCTGATCACTTCTGTTTTCAACCATTTCAAAATGATTTGCTATGAATATTAATGCGGATTTCGAGTGCATCTCTTCTTGACAGCCAGAAAGGAATATCAGACATAAATATTTGTATGTGAGGGTTCTGAAATGGATCTCAAAACCAACATGCCTCATATTAATTGTCAAGGCACGTACAACAGGGGCTTACGTCTTCCGCTTTGAAAGTCACAAAGAAACTACTTAGAGCTCAATTAAGAGGTCAAACTTATGAACACCGTTTAGAAGCTATTTGTCTTCGAAGCAGGCCTGATATGATCGATGTGTGTTGGGTTACATAGAGGCATAGGGTTTTATATGAATGTTACCTATAACTTATTGAATATAAGGATAATTATTCTTTACCGTCGAATTAAGACATGGCACATGTCATTTTCAGTCCGTTCCTACAGATAATCCCATTTTTGCTTTACATCTCCTCAGTGATTTTAATTCGTAGACTCGAGTATTAAAAAAACAAACAAACAATAGGGAAACCCTCTTTACGTGCGGCAATTCAAGATTAACTCAAACAGCAGATTTTGTACTTTCTCGCGAGTCTTAAGGCAGGTGCTCCGTATTTTAAAACTTATTTTAGTGAGTAATTAGCTACATGGTCTCACGAACAGTGTGACGAACCAAAGAGAAAGTTGCCTTCGGTTGAATGAACAATTTTAATGTAGGAAAATGTAGGAAAGTGGAGGAAATCTGGGGGAAATTGCGAAATTATGGTCTATGTATGTCATTTTACTTCTTTGTGAATTTGTCGGTTTGTTCTTGATCACGACCAGCTGTGAATCAATGACAAACCTTCAGTCCAATTCGGTCTGTAATTATACGAGTGATGACAAAATCGGACAACCGCGCAGCAGAAGTCCGATTTGTTTATCACGAGCATGATAACAAACTGTCCGATAAAAAAAAGTACGCAGAAACAGGTTAAAAATACACCGTAAATTTTTTCCGATGAACTTTCGCATCGCTTCGACCAAAGTCCCTCAGCGCTATAAATAACAAAAGGACTATTGTTTCATACTTACTGTGAGAAGTTGAGCCGGAAAAATAGACCATTCTTGATACGAGTTCAGTGTACTTTGGCATAGAGCCCCGTGGCTGCCTTGTTCGTTCAGTTTAAAATGCTAGCAACAGTGAGCACAGATGGGAGATGTTTAAGTTTTTAAAATACTGTGCGATAGTCTAAGAGCTCGATAAATGAAATGACGCTCATCTCATGTGACATGATGGCTGAGCAAACCAGAAATGAAAAACACGCATGTACAAGTATGGTTGTATCAAGCGACGATGCCTACGTAGATGATAATAAAACTGGCCTAGAAACCCCCTCGCGATCTGAGAGATTCGAGCGGGATACCCCTATTACTGGATGATTAGTTCATTGGCAAGCCAGCAGAAGTTGTCAGCGGATGGTCAGCGGTGAGTTGGTCAGGACGGACGTTACTTTACGAGCTCCGCTAATCTTAATCAAGTTTGGATAATTTTTCGTTTCGTTTTGGATAATTTTTCGTTTCTTTTTTCACGATCGTTTTTCTTTTTTTGCTTTCTGAGAGATTCAAGAATGCCCGAGTCTGTTGCTAGCCTTAAGAGAGAGAACAGTAAGCTTAAAGATCAACTGTCTGTCATGGCGGATGAGATTGCTAAGATGAAGGTGATGCTGCTGGAGCAGTCAAAAAAACCTGCAGCGACTAATGACGAAGTAGAGCAAAGCTTAGAATTCATGAGTAAAGAATATGATGACTTTGAGCGATTCAGGGTCTCTGCTGGTAAAGAACTTGATCGCTTAGGTGCCATGCTTGATGAGATTGCTGTTGAAGTTAACAGAGTTTCCAGGAGCATCGATGAATTTCAAGAGTACAGTTATCAATATAATGTTAAGATTGTTGGTGTCCCTCAATTGAGTCAAGATGAATCCTCGGCTTCTACGAGTGCGCTATGTGAATGTTTATTTAAGGCAATTGGATCCGCTGTATCAATTCATGACATTGACACAGCCCATCGAGTCCCAACGAGAAGCAATGACAATGGCGGCCCGCGGCCAATCATTTGCCGATTTATTAGACGATTGTCAAAAGATGATGTCATGAATCATAAAAGAAATGCAAGTAAAGTTGCCCCATCTGCTGTTGGTTTACCTGACGATGCCTCCCTTTCCGCTGTTAGAATTTTTGACCATTTAACGCCAAGGATGCAAAAGGTTTTATTTGAAGCTAAGAGGTTCAAGGAGCAGTTTCACTATCAGTATTGCTGGTCGAAGGGATCGCTTGTTTATCTTCGTAAAGATACCACGTCTCGAGCCATCAAGATTAAGGATATCACGGACCTGCACCGATTAACGAATGGACGTGAAGGCTAAGTATTCATGTTGATGTAGAGTTGTTTGTCTGTTTTCAGATAATAAGTATGAGTGTTAGCAAGAAACGTGTTCGTTGTACAATTAAATCTACCCTAAGCGAACTTCCATACGCGAATGTTGAAATTATTAGAGCTCATGGACAGTTTAATAACATTCTCAACAGTGACTTACCGACCAAGAAGTACTTAGACAAACTTCATAGTATTTATGATTTAGATTTGTTTCGCTTAAATACCGAATCAACATTAAATCCCGACAGAAACTTAAGCATGCAACAAATTAGATGTAAATATTTCTCACCCTATAGTTTTTCTATGTTTAAAGAGTCTTTGTTGGAATCAGATAGTCAATGTCCTTTCTCTATGCTTCATACTAACGTAAGAAGTTTGCGGAAAAACATTGATAATTTTCAAGTCCATCTTTTAGATGAACTTGACTACCAATTCAGTGTAATCGGTATTACAGAAACAAAAATTACAAATTCATCTGGGCTAGATTTCAATGCCTGCATACCAAACTATCAGTTTGAATATGTCCCAACACCTCTATCATGTGGAGGTGTTGGAATGTACATTAATAATTGTTTGAAATATAAGGTTCTGGAGAGAACATCTAAAGACGCTTTTCAGGCTTTATGGATCGAAATTGAATCCCTAAAGAGTAAAAATATCGTTTGTGGAGTGATTTATAGGCAGCATAATGATCCGGAACAATTCCTCCAATATGTTGACTTTACTTTAGAAAAACTTAGCTCCTCTGATAAAGTTGTTTATCTTATGGGCGATTTCAATATTGATCTCCTCAAATCTGAAATTTCCGATTACTCCCAAAATTTTTTGTTATCTTTACAATGTTATTCGTTCTTCCCGGTAATTGATAAACCAACTAGAGTCTACAATAATTCTGCCACACTCATTGATAATATATTTCTGAATAGATTTGATCATAAAATTTCAGGTGGAAATATCGTGTCAGACATTAGTGATCACTACTCCCAATTTTGTTTTATCCACAGTCTTATACCAAAAAATTTTACTGCTAAACATAAAATTCGCGATTATTCCAACTTCTCTGAAGAATGCTTTATTAATGATGTCTTGGATACTGATTGGGATAACTCAATGACATATGGATCTGTAGACAAATGCTTTTCTTCCTTTTACAATAAATTTAACAAGCTCATTAATAAACACGCTCCTCTCAAAATTTTATCTAGGCGCAAGGCTAAACAATTTTCCAAACCGTGGATAACTAAGGGCCTACGTAAATCTATCAAAATAAAGAATAGACTCTTTTATTCAGGAGATATCTCAAAATATAAGCTGTATAGGAATAGAATTGTTAGTCTTTCTCGTCTCAGTAAAAGATTGTATTATGAAGCTTACTTCACTACAAATCTAAGAAATGTTAAAAAAACGTGGGAGGGGATTAATGAACTATTGAACAGACAGCGTAACAGAAAAACAGTATCAGCCCTTCAACGCTCTAACAACTCTGGAGTAACACAAAATCCGTCTGAAATAACCAATATCTTTAATCAGTACTTTGCGTCTATTGGACCGCGGCTTGCACGCAATATATCACCTTCCAGGATAAATTTCCAGGACTACCTTGTCGGCACTAATCACTTTAAGTCTTTCTTTTTTGATCCCGTCGTTCCATCCGAGGTGGACTTGGAAATCTTGGCTATACCCAGTAATAAAGTATATGGCCTATATTCTTGCCCGGTTCATCTTTTAAAATCTGGGCGCCATATCCTTTCTCCACTCTTAGCTGCCATGATGAATAAGTCTATCTCAACGGGTATTTATCCCCATCTTTTGAAGCATGCCAAAGTAATTCCTATCTACAAATCGGGAGACGAAACTGATCCATGTAATTACCGCCCAATTTCCCTCCTTTCTGTCTTCAATCGATTATTTGAGAAATTGATGGCTAAACGTCTTAAATCACATTGTGAAAAAAACGGTATCTTTTTTACTTCTCAATATGGATTTAGAGACAAGTGTTCAACCCAACATGCAATTTTAGATATCTTAAGCAAAATTCAAACTAATATTGATGCAAAGTTATTCTCTTGTGGTATTTTTATTGACCTAAAAAAGGCTTTTGATACGGTGGATCACTCAATCTTACTGCACAAATTATATCATTATGGAGTCAGAGGAATAATTAATAACTGGTTCTCTTCGTACTTGTTGAACAGGAACCAGTCGACTCAAATTGGTTCAACCGTGTCGAATATAGAAGAGATAGTTTGTGGTGTCCCTCAAGGGTCTGTACTTGGCCCCCTTCTCTTTTTGATTTATGTTAACGACATTTACCGTTGCTCCCAGATTTTTGAGTTTTACCTATTTGCTGACGATACTAACTTGCTTTATTCAAACAAAGATCTTAAGGATCTTGAAAAAGTTGTTAATGATGAACTCGCAAAAGTGGGTGACTGGTTGGACGCAAACAAACTTTCTCTTAACACTAGTAAATCTAACTTTGTTATTTTCCATCCTTACCAACGCAAATTGGACTACATAGTTCACTTGAAAATTTATAATAACGATCTTAAAAAAAGTGTATCTCTAGAACAAAAAACTTTTGTGAAATATCTAGGAATTCTGATAGATAATAACCTCTCTTGGAAGTATCATATTGATTATATCTCATCTAAAGTTAGTAAAGGAATTGGTATAATTGCCAGGTTAAGACATCTTGTCCCATTTGCCACACTTCTTAACATCTACCGCTCCTTAATTGAACCCTATATCTCTTATGGTCTTATTGCCTGGGGACAAGCTGCTAACACTCATTTAAATAAGGTTCTCATTTTACAAAAACGTGCTCTACGACTAATGTATTTTGCGGATAGCAAATCTCATAGTGCCCCGCTATTTGTTAACTCCAGAATCTTACCAATAACTATGCTCTATTCTCATTTGGTTTCCTCTTTGATGCATGACATTGATAATCACCGTGCCCCGTCTAATATTTCTATGCTCTTTATCCACTCCGAGCAGGTTCATCACCATTTCACAAGATTCTCAGCAACGGCTAATCTGTACGTTAAAGCGTCTAGAACTAACCAACTTTTATTTTCTTTTGCTAGAATAGGTGTAAGATTGTGGAATAGCATCCCAAAAGAACTTCGTATTAAAAACAGAACCCCGTTTAAGCGTGAACTTAAAAATCGCCTGTTAAAACTTTTGGAAATTGAGGAGATGAATGTTGATATACGCTGCTCTGAAATTTGTAAATATCTCTTGATAAAGTAACTCTTCGTTTAAGTCTTGTTTCAATTGTATTATATATCTTGATAACTTTGCAATTGATTATTTAATTATTCAACGGACTTAATTTTATTTTATTTTATTTAACAATTGTATTTTTATTAATGATTATCTTTGTTTAATTGTATCGGTATGTGATCCTTAGCAGAGACAGCACTTGTTTTAGAAGGGTGGCCCGCCTAGAATAGCTTGCTAATTGCGGGTCACCTAGGACTGTGATAATATTGTATTGCTAACAAATAAAATTGAATTGAATTGAAATTGAATTGAAAAGTTGTTGCAGAGGGGCTGCTCTGAGTTGCGGATTTTGGTCTTACTGTGCAATGGGAAACGAAATTAGAAGAGTTTCTAGCCATGGTAGAGACACAAGAAATTGCTTTAAAATAGCATGCGATGTGGCCGTGCAGTGTTGAATGACATAGGTATCAACACATGTAAAAAAACTTTTTTCACGAAAACAGACAAAACCGCGCAAACCATGCACAGGGCTGGGATCTCTAGCCGATTGGCCGTTAGCTGAGAAGACAGACATTTTGCTTTGAGAGACTTATTAAAAAGAAATTCATTGAAAATAATAGATGATGACTTACCCAGTCTCTTGACAATAGACAACCAACAACAGTCCACCGTCGATCGTAGCAAAGACCATTCATCCGAGAAAGAATTTTTATTTTAAGATAAGATCTCAGCCTCTTCACGGCCATGCGTAATTTGTGTGTGATAGGAAACAAGACAACGCGTGAGGAGACATTTTAAGCTCAAGTGAAATTGAAAACCGTAAAAAATCCGCCTCTCTGCGCTAGCGAGATAACAGTAATTGGTAAAAGAGGCAGGTCCTAGTGAATTGAAGTCCAGACTTTGTACTAGCTTTGACCAAACACAAACAATCACGTCTACTCTGACTCGATTTGTTATTACACTCGATAATAAATTTCGTTTGTAAGCAAAGCTTGATTTTTTGACAATAGCAAGTCAGCTGAATGGAGTCTTCTTTCGATCAAAACGAAATGGTTTGACTGGTGTACTTGTTGGTTTGAGAAGTAGAAAGTTTAGTTCGATGACGAACACACTGGTTCAAAGCTGTCACTCTACGCTATTATAAAACCAAATCATTTACCAGCGCCAACAAAGTAAAATTAGAGGAGCATCTACACAATACAGGGCCAATCTTGATGGAAAATCTAGAGTTGACTCTCGCCCTGTGGACACCTCACCATTGCGACAAGAGCCCCGGTGCAAAAGCATCAAGAAATGACTGAATTAAACTCCCATTTTTACTACGGACTCAGGCTATTACTGAAATGCGGACACTTTCATGCCACGCAGCGAAACAGTTCACTTGTCTTTTCTCTCGCTGTAGCGGACACTTAAGTACTTCGTCCAAAAACCTGGCTCACATAATGCAAAGTGACATTACGATAAAAGAAAATATAGAAACCATTCTTCAATTGGCTGCGAACATGAGAACTTCCTGCTTGCGGCCGAAACTTTATCCGGTTCGTAAGGCCACGTTAGAAATGTTATGTTTGCGTAGTTACATATTATCTCATATGTTTAGAGACCAAATAAAAAGCCCAGGTCGCACTACAGCCCAAACCAAAATTAGGCAACCAAAAAATTTTCGAAAAGTTGAAACCGTAACCGGAAGAGCTGAAAAATGTGACACAATTTTTGGGTCGCACTACCGAAATACATAAACAGGTCAAAATAAACACAGTTGATCAGATTTCATT